CACCACCCATTTATCCCTCCGCCTTTCAACCAGCCCCACATGTGATTATCGGCCAGGCTGGCACAATTCACTAACTCAATGACCTTCCCCAGGGCCGGGTTTCTCCAGAAGATGTCAGAGCAAGTCCCGCCATCCGTGCCTCTAAGGAGCATTCTGGCTGTACGTCTTCCGAGACAGATCTGTGGGGTTTTTTGGCCGTCCGTGGGGCGTCCAAGATTCTTGGCCAGCGCCACAATTCAAACGGGTCGCTTCTTCTTCAATCTTTGGGGCTGAAGGCTTCTTCAGTCTTCAGTATGTGTTTCTTTGTAACTAACTATGATCTGCCACAAGCAAGAGGGAAAAGATAAGGGGGAACAAATGGAAATGATCAACATCCACCCCCACCCCCAGGGGAATGAACAACAGAAACGTGGGTGAGGGAGACAGCGGACAGTGTAAAATATGAAAATAAAAATAATTTCTAAATTATCAACGGTTCACGAGGAAGGGAGGGTGGGAGAGGGACGGGAAAAGAGGAGCTGATACCAAGGGCTCAAGCAGAAAGAAAATGTTTTGAAAAGGATGATGGCAACATGTGTACAAATGCGCTCGATACAATGGATGTCTGGATTATTATAAGATCTGTAAGCCGCCCCCCCCAGAGAGAGAAAGATACAGCATAGCCCTGCTAATATTGTGTCCTGCTTATGTCCTATCCACAACCACTTAAAAAACAAACAACAAAAACGTTTTTTCTTGTGAATTATGTGAAAGTTTACAGACTAGACCATTGATTTTCCATTCGATGGTTCACACTGGATTAGCTTCAGCTCATTCATGGTGCTCTGTGTTTATCCCACGTTCCTTGTTCCCGTGTCTCCTTCTCTCCTGACCGTCTGGGCTCTGTTCATGGGTCACCGCTGCCCTTTCATGTTGGTGGTTAGCTATTCTCCCGTGGAGGAGGGGTGAATTTCACACCCGCAGCATTGTGGTGGTTAGGTGCCATCGGGTCGGCTCCAGCCCATAGCGACCCTGCCTGCCCCAGGACAAGACACTGCTCCGTTCTGCACCCTCCTCGTGATCATTCTTGAGTGGGAGTCCGTGGATGCCGCCGTGGTGCCACGCCATCTCCCTGAGCGCCTTCCTCTCTTTCCACCTCCCGTCCATTTTCCCAAGCACAGTGCCCTTCCCAGGAACTGGTCTCTCCTGACAACATGTCCACAGGGATTCAACGTCTGCCCTTGATAAAAGGTATCAAACTGGCATTAACCTGAAGAGTTACTAAGTATTATAGTCTGGGGAGCTCCACCGGTCTCTATCCTATCAGCAACTGGCCCGCTTTGTCAGCTTGACGTTGCCACACTCTCTGTGTAGTGTGATGATAGACTTGGTCTCTCTGTAGGGCTGGGTGATTGTGTGTGCAGCCCACCCGATGTCGATCTGTCCATCTGTTGCACATTTTCATTGTTTCCATTTGCGTGTATGTGTGTGTGTGTGTTAGTAGCAGAACAGGGACCAGGGGTGTCTACTGGGCATGCGCCAATTCAGGCCCTGAGGTGGTGGTGGTGGTGGTGGTGGTGCGGTACACCTGGATCGGCCCAATCTAGGCCAGGTGGGCTTAATTCAGCCAATGGGTCAACCAGTACCATCGACCACGCCTCCCAGCAGAAGGCCCAAAAAGGCCGGAACCTGGAGACCACCACTCTATTTTTCCAGGTGCTCCTTGGCCTTCTGAGGTCAGGCTGTGTCTCTCTCGCTGGCTATCTATCCGTCTGTCTGTCTGTCTGTCTATCTATCTATCTCTATCTCTTTCTCTCTCTTCCTCCTCAGGCCACCACGTGTGGGTGTGTAGTGCCATGTGGGTGCCTGCGTTCAGTTACTGTAAAGCCTGAAACCTTTTCTATCCTTTATAAAACCCACTGGGATCACAACCTAGGCTTCCGTGTGAAGTCTTTCCCGTGTGAAGCCAAGGAACCAGGCATTTCCCACCCGAGGACTCTTAACAGAAGGTTGTGCCATGAACCCGTGGGCAGGTTTCTGTTTGCCGTCAGCCTTCACGTCTCGTTTCCTGGGTTCTCCTGGGATGGGGATGGCAGGCCACCTTCACAGGGTTTTCAGGTGCTGACCTTTCAGCAGTAGAGGGCCAGGCCTTTCTTCTGAGCATCTCTGGGTGCACGCGAATGGCTGGCCTATCAGGTGGAGGTCAACTGCACCAACAATCGACACCAGCCCCCAACAAAGCAGAGAGCAAGCAAGCCCACTGGCATCAGCCATTTCTGACTCAGTGGTCCCATAGGACAGAGTAAAAGGGCGCCGTGGCTTTCTGAGACCATCAGCCTTCATAGGGGCAGCCTGCCTCCTCTTCCTCCCAGGAAGCAGAGAGTGGCGTCTAACCACCAGCCACCTAGTTAGCAGCTCAGCACTTAACCACTTAACCCGCAGTGACTCTGAGGCTCCTTTGCACCATTCAGGGACTCCTCAATTCTCAGAAGGGGGCTTCTAGGAGAGGGCTTCAAAAAAGTGTGGAAAGAGGCCACTGTCCTTGGTGCCCCCACGAGTCCCACATGTCGCCTTGCTGTTGTTAGGTGTCATGAAGTCCATTCTGACCCACAGCGACCGGATGCACATCAGAACAAAACACTACCTGGGCCTGCACCGGCCGCACAATTGTTCCTGTGCCTGAGCCCGTTGTTATCGCCACTGTGACAACCCATTTCTTTGATGACCTTCCTTGTTTTCCCTACCCCTGTACCTTATCAATCATGATGACTTTATTAGTCTAGGTACTTAGGAGAAATAAATCCACAGCGACTCATGTATAAGAGAGTTTTATGTAAAGAAAAGGTGCATCACGAAAACATCCCAACCCAATGCTGCCCAAGCCCACAAGTCCAACATTAACCCATTAACCCAACACCAGTCCACAAAGTCCTCCACCTCACAAAACAGAGGCAATGATGCCGACTGCAGGAGGAAAGCTGAGTCAGTGAACGAATAAGTGTCTCAGCACTAGCAGGGTCTCCACACGGCTGCTCCAGCACCCAGGGCTGCATCGGGATAGGTCCATGCGGCTTCTCCTTGGGGATGTCTTGTAGGAAGTCAATCTTGCAAGCTGAAGCAGGGAACTGCTAAGGCAGCTGCACTCGGTGCGACCATCCCAAAACAAGAGACCCGAGAACTAGAAAGGTGAGGCTCACCACCCATTTATCCCTCCGCCTTTCAACCAGCCCCACATGTGATTATCGGCCAGGCTGGCACAATTCACTAACTCAATGACCTTCCCCAGGGCCGGGTTTCTCCAGAAGATGTCAGAGCAAGTCCCGCCATCCGTGCCTCTAAGGAGCATTCTGGCTGTACGTCTTCCGAGACAGATCTGTGGGGTTTTTTGGCCGTCCGTGGGGCGTCCAAGATTCTTGGCCAGCGCCACAATTCAAACGGGTCGCTTCTTCTTCAATCTTTGGGGCTGAAGGCTTCTTCAGTCTTCAGTATGTGTTTCTTTGTAACTAACTATGATCTGCCACAAGCAAGAGGGAAAAGATAAGGGGGAACAAATGGAAATGATCAACATCCACCCCCACCCCCAGGGGAATGAACAACAGAAACGTGGGTGAGGGAGACAGCGGACAGTGTAAAATATGAAAATAAAAATAATTTCTAAATTATCAACGGTTCACGAGGAAGGGAGGGTGGGAGAGGGACGGGAAAAGAGGAGCTGATACCAAGGGCTCAAGCAGAAAGAAAATGTTTTGAAAAGGATGATGGCAACATGTGTACAAATGCGCTCGATACAATGGATGTCTGGATTATTATAAGATCTGTAAGCCGCCCCCCCCATAAAATGATTTATTAACATTAGAAAAATAAAAGTATGGAAGTCAATGGGGAAAATAATAAAATAAATTTTAAAATAAAAATAATAAACTAAAAAGAGGGAAAAGATATAATCTGAATAGAAATAAGTAAAAACAAACATAAATAAAAAGCTAACATTCTGCAAAAGAGAGGGAGCAAACAAGGTCCCAGTCTTGGAGCCCCTCCGGATTCCTTACCCGTCAGATCTAGACCTTGAGCTGAGGGCGGCAAAGAGAGGAAAGGTTGGGTTCATGAGGGAAGGGAGAACGGGGAGGGAGGGAGGAAAATGAGGAGCTGATGCCAGGGGCTTATGTGGAGAGCAAATGTTTTGAGAATGCTGAGGGTAACGAACGTACAAATGTGCTTGACACAATGGATGTATGGATGGAGTGATAACAGTTGTATGAGCCCCCAATAAAATGATGAAAAACCAATAAATAAATAATATGGGGGGCGCGGGGAGAGAGGAGAGGTTAAAAGTGAAACTGGGGTGGAGTTCAGGGCAGGTGAGCTGGTCTTTGGGATTGGCTGGGTGGCAGTGGGCTGGGGGTTGGGGTGGACTCGGGTTGGGGCAGGGTGGACAGAGAGAGGGTCAGATGCAGCGGATGGAAGGGGTCTTGTCTTTGAAAAGGTGGTGCTGACAACAGCTTCACTGCACATCCTCACACTGATGCCTCCCCTTTGCACCCTCCAACCCCCCCCTGTGGTCCCCTCTGCAGGACAGGTGCAGGGGTGCCCACCCTGCCGGAGTTCAGTGACTTTGTTTCGTCCACTTTTCTAGCACCCCTCGGTTCCACTCGCTGCCTGCTGGGCGGATGAGGACTGTCCTCCAGGGGAGAAAGGGTCGCACAGCCACGGTACTGGGGTCTCTAGCCTCCCACACCCTTCTCAAGGGGCTCCCTGCCGGGAGGGGTCCTGGGGATGGGGCAGGTCTGGCCCAGCCTCTGTGCCCTGTCTCCCCGGGCCCCTTTCCCCAGTCCCTGTGGGCACACGGAGCTCTGGAGTCTATCTTGTTTCCAAGGCATCAAAACAGGCCGGTGTGTGGTGTATAACGCCACCCACAGTACCTGTGAGGTCTACGGCTGGTGCCCCGTGGAGAGCAGTGTTGTGCCAGGGTAAGTTTCCCCGCTCCCCCTCCCCTTGACAGGACCCCCAGAACCCAGGACGCCTGCCCTCACCAAGTCTCTCCACCCCCAGGAAGCCCCTGTTGGCCCAGGCGGAAAACTTCACGCTCTTGATCAAGAACACCATCACCTTCAGCAAGTTCAACTTCTCCAAGTAGGCCTGGGTGACGCTCGTGGGGCCCACCGCCCAGGCCCAGGCCCCCGCTGCATCTGACCCCTCTCTCTGTCCACCCTGCCCCAACCCAGATCCAATGCTCTAGAGACCTGGAACGCCACCTATTTTAAGCTCTGCCGCTACGATCCCCACGTCAGCCCCTTCTGCCCTGTGTTCCGCATCGGAGACCTGGTGCAGGCGGCCCAGGGGTCCTTTGAGGAGCTGGCATTGCTGGTGGGTCTGCAGGGCGTGGCCTGAGCGGGTGCAGGCAGAAGGCCCCAGACCCGCTGCTGGTGGGGCAATGGTGCCATGTGTGCAGGGCGGCGCCGTGGGCATCCGCATCCAGTGGGATTGCAACCTGGATGCCAGCTCTGAATGCCACCCCCACTACTCCTTCCAGCTGCAGGAGAAGAGATACAATTTCAGGTGGGCGTGGCCTCTCTCTCCCGGCCCCAGCCCTGTACCAGAGCTGCTAGACCTTGGCCAGCATCCGCCCCCACCCATCCCCCAAAGGCAGACCACACCCTGCCTGCCACCTGGATGCTTCCTGCTGTGTGCATGAGCCTCCCTAAGCAGAACCCATCTCCACCCAGTCCATCCGGACTCCTCGGGCCCTTACAGAGAGTTTCTGAGACTGCTTGTCTTTTCGGGCGCAGACACCCCATCTTTTGAGGCTGGTGCAGCTGGTGGGCTTGAATCATGGGCCTTGTGGTTAGTAGTCCAATTGCCTAAGGCTCCCGAGTGGGGGGTGAGAGTCTCAGGAAGAGGGTTCGGGGCCAGGAGGGAATGGCCTCAGTCACCTTCTCTTGCTCAGGGACCCTCTTGGCTCCCCCTCATTTCCTCCCATGCCCCTGCCTGCCTGCCTCCCAACCAGCACTTCTCTGCACCCTATCTTATTCCCAGCCTCCCCCTCCATTCTGTAGGGGCCTTTCCTTCCCTTCCTGGCCGTTTTTTTGGGGGGGGGGGGGGATCAATGGGAACGCAGAAAAACTCCAGACTCGTACTACAGATACCTGTCATCTGAACGGACCTGCTTCCCCTGTTTGTCTCTGTGCTTCCTCCCAGACGGAGCAGTGGTCCTGCTGTGTAAATTCCCAATGGGAGCGTTTGAAGGGAAGTGGCAGACTCCCAGACAATTACCCTTTTCAACAACCCCCACCCCAGAACAAGAACCTTCCCCACGTGGTGACTCGACTAGTGTCACACTTACAATCTCCAGATTCCACTGTCACAGAAAGACCACAAAGGGGGGTGGCTGTCAGGAACAGAGCTTGACTTTTTTTCAGTTTGTGAGGTTAGAGATGCAAGTACAGCGTGCTGGCTCTAGGGGGCGCTTCCTCTGATGCCCAGGGAAGACCCTGGTCTCTTTCAGCTCCTGTAAGCCCATAAAGATGGACAGTTTTTGAAAGCCTGGGAGCAGTTCTACTCCATCCTATGGGGTCTCTGTGAGAACAGACTGGATGGCAGTACATGGGGGTCTTCCTTGCAAGCTCCCATGCACATCCACTGAGCCCAGAACTGAAGGCCTACATGGTATTTGCATGTAGGGTCGACTCCCTGCCCGGACCTGCACCCCCCACCTCTGTTCTCCAGGTCCTGCCTTGGGACTTCCTGAATTCCGCAAAACCAGGCCAAGAACAGAACCGTCCCTGAGTGTCTCCTTCTCCCCTAGGACAGCCACTCACTGGTGGGAGGCCCCTGGTGTGGAAGCTCGGAGCCTGTTCAAAGTCTATGGGATCCGGTTTGACATTCTTGTCACTGGGCAGGTAGGGCCAGGCCGGGGGTGAAGGGTGACTGGGCCTGGGAAGGTACAAGGGGCTCAGCTGGGGCTCTCTCAGGCAGGGAAGTTCGGGCTTATCCCAACCTTCATTACCCTGGGCACAGGAGCTGCGTGGCTGGGCATGGTGAGTGTGGCCAGCCTTGGGGTGAGGGCTGGGGGATGGTCAGAGAGGGTAGCAGTGGATGTAGGGGCGGGGTGGTAGCGGGGAGGAAGGGGACAGATCATGAGTCTCCCCTCCTCTCCCAGGTCACATTCTTCTGTGACCTGCTGCTCTTGTACGTGGACGGACACGCCCATTTCTACAGGAGGAGCAAGTATGAGGAGGTGAGCAGTGGTCGGCCTAGCGGCCAAGTTCTAGTTCCAGTTCCCTCCCAAACTCTCGCCCCCGGCTCTGACTTTGCTGTCTGGCCCCTGCAGGCCAAGGCCCCAAAGGCACCGGCCAACTCTGTGTGCCGTGAGCTGGCTTTCGTGCCCCCCTTGGCTGGCCTGGCCCCAGCCCCAGGACACCTGGTTGGTCCCATCCAGAAGCTTCCTGAGACTCCTGCTTGAGGCTGGCGGCTCTTGGAGACCTCGTGGATGAGGCAGGCTCTGCAGGACTGGGGTTTGCGCAGATCTGCTGGCACCTCAGGGCTTCCGAAACTGTGGCCTGTGCCTCGGCTGTTGAACGGAACCTCCCACTGACTGTTGGGGATGACAGCCTGTTCTCCCTCCAACCCTCCCTGCCCACAGCCCTTTACTGAGCTCTGTGAAACCCGAGCCAAAGCCCTGGGGTAGTGTCCACTGCTCTTAGGAGGCTAGGCCACCCACAGCCCTTGTCTCTGCAGCTCTGGGGTCCCATTAGTGGAAAGAGGCACGAGGGGGCAGATGGTCTGCGTCTCAGGATCCCAGGTAGGGCATGATGGCCACTCCGCCCGGCCACGCCTGCTCGGTCCTGAGCACCAGCTAGTTACTTTCCAGCGACAGCTTCAGGGGACGATGGGGGAACTGGATGGCGGGGCTGAGATCCCATGAGCCCTCGGGGCCTCTTCATTATTGGAGCCCACCATCCCCCTAGGAACTCTGGGAATGGACAGTCTATACATCTGTAATTCACTACCACGCCAGGGGACTGTCTGACCCCTCACCCCTGTGCCCCCCAGCCCAGAGCCCTTGACCTTCAGCAGAGGTGTGTGACTGTGAGCAAGCTACCAGAGTGTTTAGAAGTGTCCTATGCAAGGACAAGAGGCCCTGCTGGCCTCCAGTTGCTTGTGGGTGCTGGCTGTCAACCTCCCCCAGGCTCTGTTTCGTTATCCAGAGAATTCCCAGGGCCTTGAAGACTGCAAGGGAGTAAGCTGCAGGGACAGAGGCCTCCCGGAGAGGTGAGGGGCTGCTGGGCCCCTGGATGCTTGCGAACGGAGCAGCGGGGACCATGTCACAGGTCTCGGGTTGGGCAGGCACCCCAGTAGATCAACAAAATCCTTGTGCTCCCATGACCACTCAGTCCCTGGGAAGATGCCCCGGGGAGGTGGGCTCCGAAGAGCTGGGCTGGCTGAGTGGCCGGGAGGTCGGGTGCTCCCTGCAGAGCCACAGGGCCCCAGCTGTGCTTGGAGTAAAGCCTGTCAAAGTCACCAGCTCCCTGCGTCATCTTTGCTGAGCAGGATGGGAAGGAGGAGGGGAAGTGAGCAGACCTGTGTAGCATTGCCAGGGAGACACCGTTGGGAGGTGGGGTGGGGGAGACATGCACAGGGTGCAGAAGGGGTCTTGGCTTCCTGGGGGTACCCTGGACTGGGTGAGCCTCCCACCCCACCCCACCCCCCAGCCTCCAGGGGGCCTGGGAGGGAGCCAAGTCTAGCCCTGAGTGCTTTCTTCCATCTGTGCACTTTCGCCTCCAGACTGTGTGGGTGGATGGAGCACGTGGGAGCGTGGGTGCTGGAGAATCAGAACAGCGACCCAATCCTGGAAAATCCACGTGTGGAAAACGCCCAGACATATGGCCATGTGGCCCATGCACAAGCGCGCACGCGCGTGCACCCCATACTTCTGTGTTCCTGACAGGCCTTGGGTACATGCTGTGTTCTCTGGGAGACCGTGATGCTAAGGCCCCATTGGGGATCAGAACTGTCCAGGAAGGAAGGGCTCAGCTTCTCCTTCCCAGACAACCCCTGTCCCAACCCCGCCCCCCCCACCCCATCTGGAGGCACAGGGCCTGGAGATGAAGTCGGCCCATCCCATCCTAAAACTGAAAAAAAAAACAAAACAAACCAGCACACTCCCATAGAGTTGATGCCAACTCACGCAGAACTGCCTCTGTGGGTTTCTGAGACTGGAACTCTGGCCAGGACCAGAAAGCCCTGTCCTTCTTCCGCAGAGCAAAGGGGTGTTTTCAAAATGCTGACATTATGGTGAGCAGCCCAATGTGTAACCACCATGCCCACCAGAACTCCTCTACATACCCCCCCCAACCCCCATCGTCCCTGGGGAGGTAGGTTGCTGCTGATCCACATGAGGGGTGGCCCCTGCACGGGGCTGAGCAGAGGGCCCTGGCCAGACAGGAGGTATCCAATCCCGAGCCCAGCCAGCGTCACTTCCCCCTTGTAGAATCTGATTGCTATGGGCTGACGACAAGCTCCAGATTCCCAGTGGGTGAGGGAAGACAGAATGCCACAGTAACCACGCCGTGGGCCGCGTGGATGGCCAGCAGTTATTATTGTGTGAACCCTGAGGCTGCAGGACTTTTCTGCCTGCCCACCACCTCACAGCCCCGCTCTCTGAGACACCCAAAGTTCAGCACCGTGGCTCAAGTCCTAGGCTCCCAACTTCAGGACCCAACTTCACGGGCTGGCTGGCCGTTCCATGCAGTCAGGCTCCGGGACAAGTGCCTGGCCAGTGGGCTGCACCGCCTGCACTGTGCCCTCCAGGCCGCCGCTGGGAAACACCACATAGCGCGTGGTCGTCAGCCCCAGGGGTTCCCGAAGATTCTCCTTGCTGTGTCTGATGCCATAGCCGAAATACACAGTCAGTCCTGCAGGGGTGCAACAAGACTGAGGAGCAGCTCCCCTCCTTCCCCCTCCCTCTCCAATCATGCAGGGTCCTGATCCCCAGGGTCCCCCTCGGGTCCCCACTCACCGACCAGCAGCCAGATGCAGAAGCGGAGCCAAGTCAAGTAGCTCAACTTCAACATGAGACAGACATTGAGGAGGATGCTCAGCGCTGGAATCAGGGGCACCAGGGGGATCTGAGGGGACACGGGCAGGGCTAGACGGGGCTGCGACACAGATCGCTCAGCCCCGCAGCCTGACTTGGCGGAAAACCCCAGAGCGAGCAGTCAGTGGTTCAGCCCCACCAGCTGTTCCATGGGAGAAAGAAGAGGCTGTCTGTTCCGTGAACGTCTACAATCTCAGAAACCCACACGGGCAGTCCTACTCTGACCTACGGGGTTGCAGGGAAGCTGAATCCGCTTGACAACAGTGGGGTTTGGGGTTTTGGAGAATCTGAGGATGTCCGCGGGTGGTGCAGACAATCAGCGTGCTTTGTTGCTAACTGAGGAAGATGAGCCATCGAAACCCACCCCTAGAGGTGCCTAGGAAGAAAAGTCTGGCGGTCAGCTTCCCAAAGGCCATTCCCTGAAAAACATCATGGAACACCATTCTGCCTGGACACACAGGAAGTGGCCATGAGTCGGAAGCAACTCTATAGCAACTGGTTTGGCAATTTGGAGTTGATCTTCAGCACACCAGGCAGAAAGGCAGGGGGATACTCATATTGGCCTCCTACCCCTCTGAGCCTTGGCTCCATCTCTAGCAGCAAAAGAGAGGGGCCAAGACCCCAAGGCTTGGGACTGGGCGGAGCGCACGTGTGCGCTAGCTGGGAGACGTACCCGGAAAGTGTCCTGTTGGTGCTGTTGCTGGTAGGTTCCCAGGACCAGCAGACTGAGCAGAAACATGCTGCCGCTGACCAGGATCAGCAGGATGTAAGCCCAGCCCGGAAGGGACAGGACCGAGCCACCGAAGACTACCACACAGCCCAGTGTGATGGCGGAGGCTACCAGGATGCCGACCGCCCACATCACGGCAGCTCCGGGGCCACAGCGATCCAGGAAACCCAGGTAGCGTCTAAAGGCGGGTCGTAGCTGCCCTGGCTCAGTGGCTGAGGCTAGCCCAGCGCTCACTAGCTGTAGCTGATCTGAGAAGGAGTTGTGCTCCTTGCTCAGGGGGCCTGGGCTGGGCGGGCTCGGGGAGCTGGGTGGAGAGGCCTTCTGGAAGCGTAGTACGATGATGCTGGTGGCCACGAAGGTGTAGGCCAGCAACGTGCCGATGGACAGGAACTGGACCAGTGCCTCGAGGTCCAGCAGTAGCGCCAGGAGGGCCATGAGGACCCCGAACACCGCAATGCCCACCATGGGCACTTGTGTCCGGGGGTGGATGCGGGCAAACATTTGAAAGAAGAGCCCGTCGGCGGCCATGGCGTAGACGATGCGTGGAAGGGAGAAGAGATTGCTAAGCAGGACGGTGTTCATGGCTGCAGCAAATGGGGGAGGGGGCTGGTCAACATGGCGGGCAGGCCTGCCAGGGGCCACTGGTGGGGAGGGACCAGGGTGCAAGCAGCCAGCCCCTTGGGAACATGAGCAAGATCACCACCACCCAGGAAAAGAGAAGTCCAGTTTAGGACCCATTGGAGCACCTGCCATGCACCCAGAAAGTACAGTGTGGGGCCCGGGCATGTGAGTGGGTCCCTCCCAGGAAGGTTTAGTGGAGAATCTCTAATAGTTACGGTCTCCCTGGACCCTGGGCACAGCTGGTACAACGGAGGCCTCCCTTCTTCCCCGTACCTGTCCCCACCCTGCCCTCTGGACCACTCACCGCAGATGGAGCCGACGGCCACAATGACCCCAGCCCAGCTGTAGCCACGCCGAAAGAAGGCATCGGCCAGCGCCGAGTCCGGGTCGAGGCTGTGCCAGGGCACCATGAGGGTGAGCACGGTGGAGACCAGAATGTAGGCGCTAGCCGCCAGGCTGAGGGAGATGGCTATGGCCAAGGGCACCGCCCTCCGTGGGTTCTGGGCCTCCTCGCTGGACGTGGCAATGACGTCAAAGCCGACGAAGGCGTAGAAGCAGGTGGCAGTGCCAGCCATGATGCCCGAGAAGCCATAGGGGACAAAGCCCCCTTCCTCCTGGCTCCAGTTGTGCGGGCGGGCCAACACGAAGCCCAGGATGATGATGAAGACGATGACCACCAGGCTGATGGCCGAGAACGTGTGGTTGACCCAGGAAGAGACTCGGGCTCCGAAGGAGACGAAAGTGGAGGCCAGCAGCAGGACGCCTGCAGCCAGGAAGTCTGGGTAACGGGCCAACAAGGGCACATCCCAGATGCCCAGGTGAGTCTCGGTGAAGTTTCGGATTTGGTGGCTGAAGATGGCGTCCAGGTAGCCGCTCCAGGCGCGGGCCACAGCAGCGCCCCCAATGAGGTACTCCAGAAGCACATTCCAGCCAATGAGAAAGGCCCACAGCTCCCCCATGGACACGTAAGTGTACAGGTAGGCAGAGCCCGTGCGGGGTACCCGGGCCCCGAACTCCGCATAGCACAGGGCGGCGAGCAGGGAGGCCACAGCAGCCACGGCGAAGGACACTAGTACTGCGGGGCCGGCCATCTCCTTGGCCACTGTGCCAGTGAGGACATACAGGCCTGACCCCACCATGCCGCCCACACCCAGCAGGGTCAAGTCCAGCGTGGACAGGCAGCGCCGCAGCGACGTGTCCATAGTCGACTCCTCCAGGGGCTTCAGGCGACTCAGCTTCTTGCAGAAGCGGGCTAGGCTGGCAGCGCTGGGCAGTCCGCGGGCCATGGTGGGCAGCAGAGAGGGGCACAGAGCGCGCTGGCACCTGCCTGGGCCAGAGAGAAATGAGAGGCTGTTTGGCCTGCTTGGCCAGCCTGTCAGGCCCTTCCTGGTCCGCCCATCCAGGCGCTCTGAGCCCGCAGGTCCTGCAGACAGGTGGTCACCGGGCAGCTCCCCAGGTGGTGTCTGCCCACCCCGGGGCAGTGGAAGGGGGGCCAGTCGGAGCGGGACCTGAAGAGGAGCAGCGTGGCAGGGGGTGGGGAGGGCAGCTTCGCGGAGCTCTGACCAGGAACCAGTCCAGGGAAACCCGAGGCTTCCTGGGGCCTCCACCAAATGGCCTGGATCCGAAATGGGAGTGGCTCTGCGGCCAGGGCGTGGCCCAGCCGCCACCCGGCCTCAGACAGCGACAAGAGCACCCCCTCCCTGCTGCCTCCGATGACAGTGAGGACCGGACCGGGCCCGGCGAGCCGAGCCGGCAACGAAGCGGGAGCCCCGGCCCAGCGCCCTGCAGCCCAAGCCCCGCGCATCCCCCGCACCGGGAGCCACCAAATGTCGCAGCCAGAGCCAATCCCACCTCGCCTCGGTTCCCAGGTGTTTGAGTTCCCCGCCCCTCTCCCCCCGCTGCGACACAGATCGCTCAGCCCCGCAGCCTGACTTGGCGGAAAACCCCAGAGCGAGCAGTCAGGTGTTCAGCCCCACCAGCTGTTCCATGGGAGAAAGAAGAGGCTGTCTGTTCCGTGAACGTCTACAATCTCAGAAACCCACACGGGCAGTCCTACTCT